GGTCTGAGGCTGCAATTGAGAGCAATACTAGACATTCTGGAAATAATTTAGATTCACTTTTCCTGTGCCTTCTTTTAGTCTGTTGGCTTTTCAGTCCCCCTGTGGAACTGTGGTGAGTTTGTGGACTCACAGTGCTGGGGTCTGGGGTTTGATTCCCAATGGTGGATGCAGCGGATGGTCCAATGTTGCTTTGCTCTAACAAATCAAATTTACTTGACAAAATGTTGTTCCAATCAATGGTAATCAACACAGTCTTTAAATGACCTATCAAAAATAAACAGGAGGTCACTTTGGGATAAGCTGCCTTTGAGTTGTTTTCTTCTGTTGATTCATTGAGAAAGTGATGTTTTGGGCCTTTTCCTTGTTGCTTTTTTGCCAGCACCTTGCATGATGGTTGAAAGATCTGTGAGCAAATGTTTAGTTTTCTCTCCATCCATGGATATTGTGGTTTATGCTGGAAGGTTTACTTCTCAGTTACGTGAAGGAACAGTTATGCCTTATCTGACACGTTGTCAGAACTTTATGATTTATCCTACCATTGCCAGGTGGACCATTAGTTCAATTTTTGGCTTCTATATTCCTCCCTGTTGTCATTGAGGTCTCGAATTTCTTCAGCTCCTACAGGGGGCCATAGTTCCACTCCTACTCATGGATCCCAACTCATGAGTCACTCTGACAATTCTGTAGTGGTGTCTTGTGTTTCTCATCGAGGAGACATTTGGTCCAGGGCTCCTTATTTTCGAATTTTGGACCTCCTTTCTTGGTACCATTCCTGTATTATTACCTAATTAACTTGCCATGTTCCACGGGTGATACCTGTGGTAGCAGGTCAATTGTTTCAATCCAATCAGATTGTCTCCCAACAAAATAGATGCTGTATCGCTAGATTCTGTAGGATTAGCTCTCATTTTGCAACTCTGATTGGTGGGTTGGCCTCTCATTAAATCACCCAACTACTGGCTATTTGGTCTCCAGTACCTAATCTTTGGGCTTTGGCAATAGATGCATTTCATTAGGATTGGACGAGATTACAACTCTAAGCCTTCTGTCCACTTAATATGTTACCCAGGGTACTAAATATGATTTGTTCCAACCAATTGTTGGATCCTGTTGATAACACCAGATTGGGTGCTCCACCCTAGTTTCTGCTTCTGCAGTACCTTCTGGAGTGTCCATCTCTTCCATTTCTTCTTAGACTATCTCTGTGGAGGCAGCCATGATCTGACATGGTACACCCGGCTATCCAGAAGCTCAAGCTGCAAGCATAGAAGTTTTGCAGTCTTTCACATGGCATTGGGGTTTAATTTATGAGGTTGCCATGTATCTGTCTCAGTTTTTGTTTAGTCCCAAAGAAACATTTCTCAAGAGAAATGACACACATATTTCCAATGGTGTATTAAGAAGAGGTTCAACCCACTTCAATCAGAAGTGCCAACCATAACTCTATTTTTTTTTTTACCTGGCCCTTTGGCAGAGATTTTGCATCTTCCATAGTTGCCTTGTTTAAGGTGGCCTTATCATCTATCATTCGATTCTTGTGACTACATATTCTTTGAGTCCCCAGCTCTCTCCAGGTTTCTCAAGTAGTTTGAGTTCTTGGTCCCACATGACCATTCCAGTTACCTAATAGGTATATTAAGGTTACATTACATGTTCTTTCTCAACACCTGTTTGTGACCTGACTCTTATATACCATGTATCCCCTTTACCTGAAGGTTTATTTATCGTGGTTGTTAACATATAGATATCACCAATCGGGGTGACTTGTGCTGTTTGTCCACAGACTGCAATTTCTCTATGTCCTCAGACCAGTTCTTCTTATCCAAGTCAATGACAGACAGGGAAAGGGATAAATTCTTATCTCTGATTCATCTGATTGCTATTTCTCACTTCTATGTCCAATCAAATTTTGATCATGGTTATGTTCAGTGAAGGTCTTGAAGGTTTTGTTTCCTGCACTAATGTCTTTAGAGATGCTAGCCAACAACATTTTATTCTGGGCTCTCTTTGAAGGCAAGGAATCTTCTGCGAGTCACATCTACTCATTTCTATGTCCTTAGCAGCCCAGTTGAATTGCCTGCTGGAGGTCACTGTGTGGACTGGTAAGTGGACCTCCCCCAATAATTTTATCTCGCATTATTTGCATGATCTGGCAGGGTTTTCACCTACCCCTTGTAGCTATCTTAACCATTTCTGCTAGATTATACAAGATCCCTTACCTCGTTTTCACAGAATCCCACTCTGTGGCAAGTGTTGCCCAGGCAGGTGTGCTTTTATCAAACCAATTCTGCACTAGCAACCACTAATTCAATATACTTTATACAGGTTGCAAAAGGCTGGCTGGGTGGTATTACTGTACTATGCTGGACTGCCACTCATGGACTATCATGAGTAAAGCATAAGGGGATCCTGCCCATACCTGCTGATCAATGTATTGAATAAATCGGGGTCGGTTTGCTTTTAAAAATTTAGGCAACTTGATTCACCTATCGCACTGTTTCTAGGGCACTGTTCCTCAGGACTCCCCAATGTGCATTACCCCCCAGATTCTACTAGTGGAGCTATGGAGTCCTTACCACACTTGGTTTCCAGTCATTTGGGTGGTGGACAGTGGCTT